TCATATCCTTGAGAGTCGAGAAACTATTCCCACTAGTCGGGTAAGTCTTGCGAGTACATTGTGTACTTAGAGTTTATTTACCCCTGTTGCAGGTGCAGCTTGAGGAGTAGCTCTTGTGTGGAGGATTCTTCTGGTGGGCACAGACGGATCCTTGTATTGTTTCCGCTAGATGTTTATTTTCATTTTGTTGTTTAATTATCACACTCTGAACTCTGATATGTAATAAATAATTTCTAAGAACTCTTGTTGTATGAAATGTACTAAGTATGGTAAGCTCGTACTCATTATTGGATTCTTGATGTAAAACGTGGATTGTTTTGAGTTCTTCCTTGGGGTGTGCTCGACGGAACTGCCCGATGTAGCTCACTTTCGAAATGTTTAGTGTCTAGTGAAAGACGAGTGCCTCCGAAAATGTGTTATTTTAGACGGTTCTGCCACAATGGATCCCATTAAGAATAAGAGCTACGTACACTCTATAATCACAAATATAAGTCTATCTATCTAATTTTGTCCTTTATAAATGAAACTCTTTTTAATTTTACCGTCAATCAATATCCAAAATTCTATACAAATTGGTAATACAAAATTGGCACTATTACTACTTAGTTGTTGTGGAAATTAGTGTTATAATAATGTATAACTAAAGGCAATATATCTTTGTCGATGTTGCTTGTTAGAGCTGAAACAGTTTGACTTACAATAATACTAGATGGGTTTATAATTGTGATCAGATAAAGTAGCTACTTTGGTGGAGGGTCAGGTCGAGTGGGTGAGCAAGGGCCAAGGAGAGAGAGAGAGAGAGAGAGAGAGAGAGAGAGAGAGAGAGAGAGAGATATAGATAGATATATATATATATATATATATATATATATATATATATATATATATATATATATATATATATATATGTGTGTGTGTGTGTGTGTGTGCACTTACAGGCCGGTACAGGGTACGGAGACAAAAAGGACCAAAAAGCTAGTGGACCTTTGGTTTGAATAAATTTCTTCGGTTGCCTTCCTAATCCTCACCGTATCTTGAAAAGGAGGGGAATAGCTAGGGTTCTTATTAATTTAATCTACGGCAGTAGTTCACATGAGTACATGTCCATATCTGTATGTGGCTGCTTGCAAGCTAGCTGCAGGCCAGGTCAGATCAACCACTCTGTTCTCTTCATGTACTATATATATTGTGCCAACAACAGAACCGCAGATAGGAACAACCCTATAGGCCTTGCTGATACATAGAAAAGAGAAAAGGAGCACACGAAATTTGAAAAAAAAAATGTTCCCTTTTAATTTCATATATAACTATCTCGCTTTTTGAGGATTAAAAATGTTTTCAATTTTGACCAAAGTTTTACAAAAAATGCTAATATTTATGATACAAAGTAAGTATCTTTAGATTAATTATAGAATATATTTTCATAATAAACTAACTTGGAGACATAAATTTGAATAATATCCACTACAAACTTGGTCAAACCAGAACTATTTTAACGGGCATATATAATTTTTTGGACAGAGGGAGTACATAGTAAAATTTCTAAAAAAAAAAGTCAAAATAGACCCAGATCGAGAGAGTAGCTTTGTTTGTGACTGGATCAATAAGACAAATACAGGGATGGGGAAGAAATAATGCGATATATCTACCGGATGATCTTCCATTGGTTCATGCACCTAAACAGAAGCCTTCAAATCGAAGTTTACCTCATATGTATTACATCGGATATGACGGTTATTGATCTTTTAACCTCCATGATGTTATTCTACATCACGGAAACATTGTTTATTAGTGAATGACTCCTGCTTCCGGAGCCACGGTAAATAAATGTCACAATCTCTAATTTCACACTCAACGTTTAGTGAAGGACTGATGAACAATTTGGGTACATATATATGATTCTTTATTAAGTAGGTGGCGTTTGTATATATATATATATATATATATATAGAACTACTATCCTTTAGCTGGCTACAAAATAACTTATTATGTAGCCACTTTGAGTTACGATAATTACTATGTTAATTTACGAGATTATAGTAACTCGTTTACTATAACGTTATGGTGAATATCCCCATGTGTTATAGTAACCCAACTATCGTAAATATGTATTGACATTATCGTAAATTAGTATATAAAATTATCGTAAATGGAGGTGGCTACAAAATAACTTATTTTTGTAGCTGGCTACTGAATACTCTCTCTCTCTCTCTCTCTCTCTCTATATATATATATATATATATATATATATAGACACACACACACACTATACTATACTATATATGCACCCATCTGGAGGAAAGATTAATACTAGAGACAAAACCGATGTGTCCCCTTATGGCTGTAGTTGAAGGAACCCAGGAAGCAAAGCAAGCCCAGTTCCTCAGCCCTTGGAGCTCAAAAAAGGAATATACTACCACAACAGGTGAAGCACACGCATACAATAACATATACTATATGCATACAAGTACACTGTTGTTCAATATCAGCAAGCAAGACCTGGCAGATACTAGCTACTAGTTAGCATCCACTGATTATTTTGTGGTTTGCGCTATGGACAAGATCGACTACTTGTTTAATTATTAGTTACTCCGTTAGCTATTGGGTTAGCTTGTAACCTATAACGTACGAGATCCATCTTATATTAGGTATATATACCGTATAATGTTAAGACATAGATATACTGATTTTGAGCATAGATGAATAGAAGTACTCATTTCAACTAAACATAGATATACTGATAGTATGTAACATGCTGTTAAGACATATTATAGGGAGTGTTTGGTTTGGACACACAGGCAAACTCTGCTTATCACCTCGTGCTAGCTCTCTGCTAGACGTTCGATTTTGAGCGCCTGGGGTGGAGTGGAGATCATCTATGCCTCCTTGAGAGGGCGTGAACGGAGCGTGATCCAAACATGTCCAGCAAATAATTAAGTCAGTAAATATATGTATGTCCATATATATATGTGGTCGTAGGTCGGTCCCGGCCTGTGTCTGTCCCTGTGTCTGTGTGCATGGACATGTGGAGGCCGTGTACTGGTGTTACTGTTACTGACGAAGGTGTGCATCAGGACCAGGACGAGCAGGCGCGGCCGGATTGATGAATTGATCAGCGGGCCACCACCCAGCACCCAGCAGGGAGGAAGAGGAGGCGGCGTCGTCAGGCCAGCAGCGTACGATGCGTCGTCGTCGTTACCCTGGCCACTGTGAACGCGGCCTGTGCCCCTGCGGGGTGCGGCGAGCGAGCAGCGAGCAGCGAGCAGCGAGCAGCAAGCAGCAGTATCCAGCAGCGGGGAGCCGGGGACCGGGGAGGGGGGCCGGCCGGCCGACGGAGCGCGCGCGGTGGTTCTGGTTCTGGTTCCTCCCCCGCGGCCCGGCCGCGGCCCCCGCGCGCATCAATCAATCACGTGCGCATGTGGACGCGCTCCCCCCGAGGCGCGCTGTACGGCGATCCACGCTTTAAAATTACGCTACTACACGGGGCCGGCCATGATCGGCCTCTAGCTCTCCGCTCTCGGATCGACCTCAGCTATAGCCAGCTGACCGATCGAGCTTGCCATATGCCAGGTGCAGTGCATTGCAGATGCAGATCGGAGGACTCGGACTCGGACGCTGCAGTGCAAATCCGTCGTCGTCCCTCGAGGCCAGGCCGCTACGGCGCTACCACCAACAAAGCAACAACAACCAACCCAGCCGGGACGGGACGCAGCAGGTAGACCCATAGCCGCCGGTAGCAGCTAGCTAGAGGCCGGGAAAGAGCTATTGGCGTAGAGATAGTAGACAGCGACCAAAGAAATGCAAGGGAGGTCGATCATTAGGGCCTAGTTTAGTTATAAAAATTTTCACCATAAACGATCATATCGAATTTTACGGCATATGAATGGAGTATTAAATATATACGAAAAAAACTAATTACACAGTTTGGTTGAAAATCAAGAGACGAATGTTTTAAGACTAATTAGTTCATGATTAGCCATAAGTGCTACAGTAACTAACATGCGTTAATGATGGATTAATTAGGCTTAATAAATTCGTCTCGCAGTTTACAGACGAGCTATGTAATTAGTTTTTTTATTAATATCGAAAACCTCTTCTAATATTCCCGAAATATCTCACGTGACATCAAAAATTTTTATTTCACGGACTAAACGCAGCCTAGCTACTCGTAGTAGTATAGAGCGAGGAGCCGAGGACTAGCTAGTGTCAGTAAGCCGGCGAATGGCGAACGCCCGGAGACCTTTCAACGACGACCGTAGGGACGATCCGCCCAGGCTGCGGACAGCAGGCATTTTTTTACTCGCATCGCACCGAGGACGAGGACGAACGACCAAGCACAGCAGTGCACACAGCGCATACGAGACGCGATAGGCTCCGCGCTGTGGCAACAGAAGCGTACTGTGTAGTTACGTGCCAATATGCCATGCACTATTGTAGCTACAACCGGCGGCCTCCCGTGTGCGCCATGTGGGCACACGCAAACGCAACGCAACACACCATCAGCGCGTACGGTAGGCGAGAGCAATGTTTTAAATAGCGGGTCAAGGTGGTTAGCGTTATATCTATAAAACAGCTAATAGCGAAGCTATATCAGACTATACTAAGATATAGCGGCTAAATTGTACGTGACCTTAAATAATGACACCCTGACTCAAAAGACTGTAGCGAGACATTTAAAACTATGAGCGAGGGCGAGGGCGAGAGCTGCCACTACTACTAGTACACTCCCCAAGCGCATACGTACGCGTCTCTCTCTCTCGTCTCGCACCAATAAAACAAGAGAGAGAGCCTAGCTCATGTAAGACGCCACGCCACATAGAAGAGAGAGACCCCGACCCGACCCGATGGATCGTCAGCGACAGAGCACAGACCGACCGGCGTGACACAGTCACACAGCCAACAACTAACACACACCAGCTAGGGGAGCCGCTAGCGAGGGCGGCCGGGGACGAAGGAGACGGCAAGCTAGGCAGCAAACGACGACGTCGACGTACGGCGGCATGGCCGACCACCACCACGGGCAGCCGCCGTACGGGGACGGGCGGCGGGCGGGCCTGGGCGTGGGCGTGGGCGTTGGCGTTGGCGGCGCCGGCGCCGGAGAAGGTGGTGACCTGGAGATCAAGGAGCAGGACCGGCTGCTGCCCATCGCCAACGTCGGCCGCATCATGAAGCAGATCCTGCCGCCCAACGCCAAGATCTCCAAGGAGGCCAAGGAGACGATGCAGGAGTGCGTCTCCGAGTTCATCAGCTTCATCACCGGCGAGGCCTCCGACAAGTGCCACAAGGAGAAGCGCAAGACCGTCAACGGCGACGACGTCTGCTGGGCCTTCGGCGCCCTCGGCTTCGACGACTACGTCGACCCCATGCGCAGGTACCTCCACAAGTACCGCGAGCTCGAGGGAGACCGCGCCGCCGCAGCCGCATCCTCCCGCGGGGTCGGACCCGGACCCGGCGGACCAGGCGGAGGGCCCCCCGACCACCACCCTGGTTCCACCTCGTCCGCCGCCGGTCCCAGCGCCGCAGCCGGTCATTTCATGTTCGGCGCCGCCATGGACCGGCCCGACAACAACACCTCCTCCAGGCCCTTTTAATCCATCTTCAGTCCTTCACCTGCTTGTTATTCATCAGAGCAACAACAAAAGCTACGAGCTTAGCTTATTAATTTCTACTACTACTCTACTCATTTTTGGAGAGGTGAGTCGTCTTCGCATCCAATCCAAATTCCAAGCTATATATATCTATATCTATCTCTATCTATCTATCCACAGTTCCACACACACATATATAGCTTATTGCCTTATTTCTTATTAGTGCTAGCTAGTCACAACAGTTGCTATGAGTATGTACCCAGTAGTAGCTAGAGGAGGACTAGAGTTTTTGCTATTGATCTCTGGGCTATGTATTGGTGAAGAAGGAATTGGGGTTGGGATGATGGATGATATGGTTACTGATGATGAGGTCCGTCCCATAGATCGATCAGAACACCGCGGATGAAGAGAGTAATACTAGGTAACTAGGATGGATGAAGACGAAGACCCTACCGGGGATCAATGTAACTCCGAGTGCCCATCATCGATGAATTGATTTTCGATTTTGATTTGTTTGTCAATTTGTGAAGCTAGTATGCAGCTCAATCGATCTGCACAAATGAAACGTACGTAGTTGTTCAATTCCAGGATTTTTGTAGCCGGTAAGAATATTCTAGATTCTGAGTGAAATTATTGTTGATGCTCTTGCTGCTTATTAGTATCTCTTTCTTATAGAGTTCATCAATGATTGACTTGATTAGGCAAGATGTCTACTATACTTCAAGCTAGGTAGCTAGAGGATGATGCTAGCTAACTGCTCATGCTCATGCACATCCAAGATTCCCACCAGAGAGTCTTGGTGACAAATTAAACTAATTAACTAGACAGCAATGCAGTGCTGCTGGTTCATGCAAAACAAACATTATCCAACGAAAAACACTCTGAAAAACAATGGTTGATTCTTACTTGCTATGCATACAAGATCCATGCATGATGTTAATTATTTTGCTTTGCTGCGACTGTGGTATATTACTCATCGTTGTTAGTGACAATTTCTACTAGTAGAAGTGTAGAACGATGCATGGTGCTTGTATGTAAGTTTTTTTTTCAGTGTTTGCATAATCTATTCAGTACTCTAGTATTGTTTGAATGAGAAGCTGAGTCTAGCATTTGTGTGCATCTCGGTTTTTTGTAGGTTTTGATGTCATTCTTCTCCTTTGTGTGTTGTAGGAAAAAAATGTCAGAAAGCTAAGATTATATATCTGTGCTTAGCATGCATGTGGTAGTTATATTCATATCATCCAGTGGTGCAGTCTTGTATTAAATGTTCATAGGACACAGAAATTGATGTTTCTTTAACCACTGACATCTTAAATGACATGCATGCTCCATGACGTCGCTCGAGGCTCCATGGTCCAGAGAGAGTGACGGACTCTGCCTTCCAATAATTCAGGTTCAGGCATCACACTAGCATGCATGACAAACAGTATCTATACGTCCTTGTTTGTGTATGTGGGGCAGACATGCATACTAATAATACTAGTATATCGCTTCTTTTATAATTCATACTTTTCAATTTATTTTTTTAGCTAGAATAGTATTTTTTTCTCCCAACAAATCAGCCGAAACAGTATTTCGGCTTGTTTTTTCAGCGAAGCGAACGGGCCGTAACATACTCGGTGTGCATGGTGCCCACACACACCTGCGAAGCAAAATATAAGTGACAGATAGATGAACTCTCGGACTATGACTATATTAAACGATAGGAAGTGTCTTGTTTTCTATATATATATATATATATATATATATATATATATATATATATATATATATATATATGTCAGAATAATAGAAAGTCTTCTAAAAGTCAATGGATAGATGGTGGACAAACTCCCTCCTTTTGAGTATCCATCACAGTATATCTTTGTAACCACTACTGAATCGGTTTTGGCCATAGTTCACTGTCAATTAACAACCAAAAGCTTAATTTCTTTCTATAGTTAACTACTATGCTCTTTTTTTTCTTTCATTATCTAAAAAGTGCTCCTTTTTTGCTGGTTCCATTTGGCCTTTTGTGTCAGTTATTTGATCCAGATAATCATGTCATTTAAAAAAAATCTAACAATGGAACTATCAAGTTGGATGCACCCTTTCAAAGGCCTTATATATTTTTGGCACTCCACAAAATAAGCAAATAAAGCAATGCAAAAATGCTTTGTTGGAATTTATTGGCGTTATGATAGCCAATGTATGGCTTGGATCAATGTACTAAACTAATAGTGCCTTATGTACAATAATTGTTGTTAAACATAACTATTTGCACAAAATTTGTGAATGATACATCCATGAAGGCATTTCTGAGGTAATATACATGCCATTATTTAAGTCATAGGTTTAGCCAGAGCCATATGATTAGTGCAAGGCATTTAAGGCCTATATCTGCCACTACTACACCAATGATTTTTACAATCGTGTCCCATCTTTTTAAGGTCGGACCGTATAGTAAATCAGCTCTCTTTTTTGGGAATAGTATAGTAAATCAGCTCTAGAAATGTTTTGTTGCACTATAGTAAATCACTCTAGAAATCTTTTTTTTGGGAATTTTAAGATGATTTGAGTTTGTAGTGGTTGCCAATATATTAGAAGAGAAATTTACATCAAAATCTACCTTAGAGGACTCTCTGAAAAACATCATACTAACAATATATTAGAAGATAAATTTACGTCAAAATCTACATTAAAAGACTCTCTGGAAAACATCAAACTACTTCCAGCCCTCAAGCTCTCCTTTTTATAATTCTTTTCTTTTCTCGAACTACGCCAGAGAGTTGCGTGTGATTTCATTAAGATAGGAGAAACACTAAAAAACACAAAGGCGAGGCAAAAGAGCTCCACCCAAACTCACACCCCCAAACACCAAACAAAAAACTAAAAAAACAACAACAGAAGAATGCAGACAACCCTAGCTAAGGGACTGGAAAAGACCAACAAGACATCCCGAGTCTGGGACTCAAGGGGAAGTGACCTAGAGAGAAGGTCCTGAAGCTTGGAAGCTCCAACCTTTTCATAATTCTCGCGACACATAAATTGATACATACATTGTTTCCAACTATGAATAGTTTTGCTCCCAAGCAAATGACAGAATCAGTGAATCACCTAGACAGAGCATCATGCGTGTAAGCTATACTACGGTGAAAAGTGGTTCATCTGAATTCTATCCATAGATTGATATATCTAAATACTAATCCATCTATGCATTCATCCATTCATCTACATCATTTGATCCATCCATTCTAAAACTTCATTCATCAATCAACTAGTTCATCTAGTAGTGCATACATCCATTCATTCATGAAGGAGGAGGGGGAGGAGAAGCTAAACTCACCTTGAGAAGGAGGACGCCAGATTGATAAAGAGGGTGGTGGTGGTGGTGGTCCCCTGTGCCTTGGAGGTGGACGCTATAAAGAAGGAGAAGAGGCATGCGCACATGGAGAAGGATGTCACCAAGGAGGAGGCCCATGTGGAGGAGGTCGATGTGGACGAGGCCGACGGCAAGGAGGACATGAGAAACACATTGACTTAGTAGATCTGGCGCCATGGCGATGGAGAACTAGCCAGGGATGATGCTGGGGAAAATGGTCTTAGTTGTTTCTAAATGGGATGGGAAAGGGTGAATAAGATTCTCAAATATAGACATAGAGTAAAAAAGTGGAGGCTAGGGACCAAAACCCTTCATATTTTGTCCAGCAAAAGGTGATGGTTAGCCTTGGCCCGTCCATAATTTTGTTTTCAACAAGAACCCATCACTTTTGAAATGGATAAAATGTCACATATAGAGCTTCTTCTTTACACTCATCGCTATTATATCATATATGTGACTATTGTTACGCCGGTCACTTTTTGTGTGTACAAAGTAGAGCCTTGCTTTGGACCAAAACCTAAGATTATAAAAGTGACATGTCTCATTTTTTCCATCTATACCACCAAAAGAGTGATTAGTGATGCACCTTCGGAGGACCAACAAGGACAGGATGGAGCGATCCTACTTTCAATGGTGTTTGCAAGGAGGGATGGGTGGACTCCACAAGCGAATACCCACTGAAGATGGGAGAAGAGCCCAACCCCGGCCACAAAACAAGTGGGTGGACTCGTCCCTCCTTGACACCATCATTCAATCTCTCTAAAGGCGGATCTCTTAGGCGGGGTGGGTGAGGGCGGCGTGGGCGTGAAGCATGCTCGAGTTTGACTTGCTCCAACATGCATGAGTCGAGGGAGGCACCACGGACCTAGAGGTCGAGCTCCTTTGGCACGGCATAGGTTGGGCAGCGACGGTTTGAGTGTAGCCTGCCCTGGCACGATATGAGGCGAGGAGAGTCGAGGGCGGTGTAGCGCAACGCGAGGAGAGCATAGGACGCGATAGACGGGCTTGTTCGATGACATTGTGGTGTCAGTGTGGACTTTGTGAGGATGCATAGGGTCGAAGGTGACGTCTGACAGGGCCACGTAAGGGTGAGCGACATCGGACACAGTGATCGGGCGAAATGTCCAAGCCACGCGAGAAGATAAGACCGGCCGAAGGAAAGAAAATGACAGATTTAGGATAAACCTAATCCGATATAGAGGTGGATGATTCTATCCCTAAAAACAAGAATGGAACCATTCATCATTAATACTTATCTCTAAAGGCACACGCTAATCAGCCATAATAAGGAATCTTACTATATCTGTGAAAAATGAAATTTATTGCAAGCAAATTAAAGTATTCAAGGATGGTTCCTCCCAATGGGGAGCTTCCTTGGGAACAGGTAGCACAGCAAGTAGGCAGCAGCAGCCGCATCAAAAGATGCACGACTGCCCCGCTCGTAATAGGCTACCTTCTAGCTCCTGCAGTCCTGCATCGCTGCTCCTTTTGGCGTTTGGGTGTGGGGTTTCGCTTAGCTAGCTTGTCAAAAGCTGTGGATTGGTAGCCATTTTATACGGAGATCAAGTGGCCTAGCTAATATAAGGACCAGTTGCTAATGAACCCTCGCCCCCTTTGGCCCTTTGTGCGCTATGCGTCCGGG